CTAGATTTACCCAAGGGAAGTATAATTTCCACCCCAGTTGGATCATCCTCCATCTAGTGCAAAGTAGTCTGAATAAATGAGGAAAAATATATAATTGTGTGTCAGTGACTGCAACATCACTGCAATCTGGCTGGTTGAGAGAATTCCCTGGCAGCATAAATTGTACTAATTGACAAAATATTGTAGGACAACATAAAGGCTACGTCTACACTGGCATGATTTTCCGCAAATGCTTTTAACGGAAAAGTTTTTCCGTTAAAAGCATTTGTGGAAAAAAACGTCTAGATTGGCACAGACGCTTTTCTGGACGCTTTTCCCCAAAAGCACTTTTTGCGGAAAAGCGTCCGTGGCCAATCTAGACGCGCTTTTCCGCAAAAAAGCCTCGATCGCCATTTTCGCGATCAGGGCTTTTTTGCGGAAAACAAATCTCTGCTGTCTACTCTGGCCCTTTTGTGCAAAAGTTTTTCAGAAAAAGACTTTTGCCCGAACGGGAGCAGCATAGTATTTCCGCAAAAGCACTGACAATCTTACATGAGATCGTCAGTGCTTTTGCGGAAATTCAAGCGGCCAGTGTAGACAGCTGGCAAGTTTTTCCGGAAAAGCGGCTGATTTTCTGGAAAAACTGGCCAGTCTAGACACAGCCAAAGAGATGAAGGGGCCTGATCTAGAGCTCACTGAAGTCACTGAGGCTCTTTCCATTGACTTCCATGGGCTTTGGCTCCATCCCACTATAAGGACAAGGGAGCAGCGGAGCTTTTAGCTTCAACTCTGTCATTCCTTGCTTTTAAGGGTTTGAGTGCTCATCTTGAGAAAGTAGCCTCAATGCTAATTGTTCTACATGGACTTGATCTTAGAGTCTCTTATAAAAGGCTCTGAGAGACTGATGCTGGCGTCATGGTTGTTTCCCACTAGTATACCTCCATTACGGTATGTCAGTGGATTTACTTGTGACATACACTAGTGTGAGTGAGAGGAGAATAAGGCCCAGAGCACTAATATCTGGCTCGTGGGCATGTGTGTTCCAGTTAACTGGATCAAAACTTTTCAAGGTCTTAAATATCCCTTCCATATCAAGCTGGTTGAAGATATCTTTCATAATAGACCTACAGTGCAGACAAATACTCCCATGAGTAGGAACTCACTTCAGCATAAATTATGCACTCACACTTATTAGACTTTTGTTTTGTGTGTTTTTTCCCTCAAATTCATTCTTCAAACTCACCTCAGTTTTCATTCATTTTATTTGCTTCATGTTGTACTACTCAATGTTGATGTTATTATTTTTGTACAAACAGCTTTTGAAATCCTGTCATGCTGTGTCTCAAACCCAAGGTAGGACTGATCTATACTAAACAAGCTACTATTTCAGTGTGATTTCCTTCTAAATTAAATCATTATCGTTGGCGTACTCTTTGTAATTGCCACCACTGGGAAGTACTATGATCATAATGAACGCACTGTTAATATTTATGCACAATAAATATTTAAGAGTCTGACATAGTAACAGTATTTTATGCTCTAGCATCTCAGACCCACAAGTACATTCTTACAGTAACAAGAACAGGACTCCTTTAGAGAGAATGATTTGTATTGTTATATTATCAGTAGTTAAAGACATGCTTGAAATTCTAAAGTGTGTCTGTAAGAAGCATTTACTGATTAAGGAAACAATTTTAATGTTGACACATATATGACTAACTGCTAATGCTGATAGAGCCCAATTTTCCACATGTATTAGCATAAGAATAAAAGTAAGGCACGCTAAAAATAGCAAGACATATATTAGATAGCTAGAAATAGCTTTTTAGTGGCTAAAGAAAAGAGGCTTCCATCTATTGGGAATCTCATTCACACGATTGTAGCTTTCCTGTTACAGCTTCCTCATAACTATCACTCATAAGAAATCCATAGTAACCCCTTATCTCGATAGTGATAAAATATCTTTGTTACATTTAAACATCCAGTTGTGCAGTTTTGCCGAATTTAATGACCTGCTTAAATCTTCAGCTGATAATTTACTGCAGGGGTCAGCAATTTTGGGTCTGTGGCCCATCAGGAGAGGCCGCTGGTGGGGCACGAGACATTTTGCTTACATAGAGCATCCACAGGCATGGTCCCCGCAACTCCCTGTAGCCATGGTTTGCTGTACCTGGCCAGCAGAAGCTGTGGGAAGTGGTGCGGCCACAAAGACATGCTGGCCACCACTTCCTGCAGCTCCCATTGGCTGGGAACAGCGAACCACTGCCACTGGGCGCTGCAGGGGCCATGCCTGTGGATGGTCAATGTAAGTCAAATGTCTCGTGCTCCACCAGAGGTTTACCCTGATGGGTCATGGACCAAAGCTTGCCAACCCCTCATTGACTTGGATTTGAAGATGGGGATCCAGATATTAGGGTATGGGAAACCACATTAAAACCTCAGATTGACATGACTTGCATCTATAGCTCAGTAACTGACATGTCTAAGAGTTTGCATTTTAGTTGGAATTTCATTTTCACTTGCAGAATTCTCTCACGCAGAATGAACACAGCAAATCAGTTCCAGTATTTCAGAAAAGGCTGTGCACATTGATTCATGTTTTAATGTTATGTTTCCATATTTTTATTTTGAAAGTTTTCTTCTTTGATTTCAAACTTAAAGTCATGAGAATGTAAAGTAAGATTTAAATGTGTTCATAATATTTCACATAGTTGCCTTTGATGTTGTCATAATTAGCTAAATATACATGTGATGGCGAAATGCACAGAACTAACCGTTTAAAGAGGGGGTCCGTCTATGGCACCTACACAAACTCAGATTTAATTTTGTAAAATTGGTAACGGGGCATCTAAATGATTGTTTTGAACCTTCATTTGGGCAATTTTACATATGGAAACGCCTGTTTGCATGTATAGAATATGTAACTTCTTTTATGTATTTAGATGAGTGCCTATCCAAATGATGGGCATCTTTACAACTGATCAGAATACCCAATTCACACAGTAAGACACATCCAGCAACCACTCCTCCCTGTATAGCAAAAGCAGAACAGACACTCCTACTGGGGAAGACAAAGTGTCCTCGCCTCCCTATATGCCAGTTATAAGACATCCTCTCTCCCCCGAAGACTGGCTGTAAAGATAGACTGGACATACATTCAGGTGATTTTGGATCAAGATGATAAGGGAGTTCCTAAATTGAAGGGCCCTCATGGAAAATGCACAGGAGTTAGTGCCTTTCCACACTCTTTGAATTGAGTGGTTTCTAACCGAAGCATTTCAGAACCCCGCTTTGCCAGTGCCACATGGGGAGAGGGGGTAGTTTCTCAAGCAGTTTAGGACTGCCAAGGGTATATATATAAAAAACACCTTTAACCTTACCTACAGCCTAAGAGGCAGCCAACACAAAATGTGCATTGAAACAGATTGCTTAACACATAGGCTGCTACAGGCTGTGTGTCTATGTGCCAGCATCAGATTCCAGGTGTAGCCCCTATGTGGAGCACAATGCAATAGCCTACTCTTGAGGCAATAAAAGCAGAGGCGCCACCAGCCAAAATCATTAAGCTAAGTGAAACCATCATGGCCACCTTAAGGAAAGTGTCAACAATCTCTGTCCTCACTAAGTCCCATAATCCTTCACATCAGTTACTGCCTTCCCCAGCAGGAAATGGGTCCAGCTCACAGGTAGTAAGTAGAGCTTAATTTCCCAAATAACTCCAGAACCTCAGTAAGCAACACCAACCAGTCCAAACTCAGCCAGGGCTGGCACAGTGAGTAACTCCACAACACTTGTCCCATCTCCACAGGCAGTTCAGTCAGAAACAACATGACTTTCTCCACACACTGTGAAGCTTTGAGATGTGTTTTATCAAGTGTTTCTTTGAAAAGTGACCCATAAATCCTAAGATAAGATCAGAAGTGATTGCTAGCGTAATGTAACTGAGAAGCAAAAGCAGAAAAATCACACTGCCGTTTGAAAATACGCAGATATTTTTCTGAAGGGGAAAAATTATCATGTTTCTCCAGTGTTTGTTACATATAATCCACGCAGATACTATTGTGCTGAAAATGGATTTGATTTTGAGCACAAGCTTTAGTATGATTCTTCATGAGGAAATGATGCAATTATTTTGGGTTGCAGGCAAAGGAGATGCAGCAGATGGTGAAGCTGGAAGCAGAGATGGATCGCAGGCCAGCAACAGTGGTCTAAAGCTCCAGTATGCAAACTGAAGCCAGGAAATCCCGTATCTGTAAAATTCCAACCATCCATTGCTGAGAGGGGAAAACTGGGCTTTTGGCTCTTTCCCTATAGACACAAACCACTAAGTCTTAAGGTTTTGCATATTTCTTTAACATTGAGTACTGAAATTCCTTTGTTGAGCAAAACACTTAAAAAGAGGCACACAACATTTTAAAGCCCAGTTCTGTATTCCCTATCCTGAAAACTTAAGGTTTTGCATATTTCTTTAACATTGAGTACTGAAATTCCTTTGTTGAGCAAAACACTTAAAAAGAGGCACACAACATTTTAAAGCCCAGTTCTGTATTCCCTATCCTGAAAATATTCCATTCATCTTAATGGGTTCCTTTCCCCCGCCTTTCCCCCGCCCCTCCCTCCACCCCCCCACCCCCCCCGCCCTTGTGTCAGGATTGTAGGCTCATCCCCTTAAAATACAAATTCCATGTTTCTTTTTTTTTAACATAAGCCCAGATGGCAACCCAACTATCATCAAAACAATATGCAATTTACCATTTTAATTCTCATGCTTGATATGTTATTTTATTGGCTCCAATCCTGCAAGATGCTGTGAGCCTGGAGGCACTCAGCACATCAAGCTTTGTAAATGGATCTACAGGCAGTCCCAGGGTTACGTACAAGATAGGGACTGTAGGTTTGTTCTTAAGTTGAATCTGTATGTAAGTCGGAACTGGCGTCCAGATTCAGCTGCTGCTGAAACTGACCGCCAGTTCTTACATACAGAATCAACTTAAGAACCCCAGGAGTCCCCAAGTCAGCTGCTGCTGAAACTGATCAGCAGCTGATTCCAGGAAGCCCGGGGCAGAGCAACTCTGGGGAGACCAGGGAGACGTGGAGAAAGCCCCGGAGTACACGGGCGGCAGGACCGCGAGGTCCCGCAGTCCGTGTCCTCCGGGGGAGCCCCGTTCGTAACTGCGGATCCGACATAAGTCGGATCCGCGTAAGTCGGGGACTGCCTGTACTACTAAATAATAGGAGTCACATGTAGTCTCTTCTTGGTGATTTTTCTATTTCACACACATTTTTGAGCTCCAGCAAACAGTAAGCAATTGAAAATTAACTGCATATATTGGAAAGTACAATGATCTATAAATTCATCAGCAGAAAACACACTGGGATAACATTTCCACATACAGATTATGGTAATAGCAAGTGCCATATCAACTCTATCATTCCTGAAAGAAGCGGACATTCTGTAAAAGTCTTTCAAGTGTTTAACATGGTAGAAATACATTGTTTGTGCCAAAACAAATCAGTGCTCTCCAGTTAAAGGAATTATGCGTTAGGCACTTTAAGCAAAGTTTACATCATCTGTTGCTTGTACAGAAATTGCATTTTGATCTTATTGCTGCAGATCCCAGCTATCAGAGTTCATTGTATCTTAAAGATTGTTAAATGGCGATTGGCAAAAGTTTGTAACTGTGAACAATGTATAAAGTATTTATACACTTTAAATCACAATATTGTAGAAAATCACCTAAATGTTGCCACGTGACAAAATTAGTAAGCTGAATTACTAGAAGTATGTTTGCATGTGATACAGTCACCAGTTACGACTTAAATGCCAACCGTATGACCACAGTCTGTCAGTCTATTAGTCAATAAATACAAATTAAATGTATGGCACCAAATATTTGATTAATTCTGAAGCCGTTTAGCGTAACAAGACCTATCTATCTATATATATGTATATGAATTATGTGGGCATTCTTGATACTTCAAGTTCTAGTTGAAAAAAAAGTACATAATTAATTTAATTTTACACAGAAGTATTTATGCAGATTTTCAGAATTTCATATCAGGAATAACCTTTTTATGTCTGTTAAATATAAAAACTATTTGCTACATTGTTAATTTGCATGTTTGCTGTAGTTATATTGCAGAAGAACGCATGTAAGCATTCTGCTTGGAATTTGCCCATGCTGCCAGTACAAAGGAGACTGCATGGAAAACGGGTAGTTTAGAACAAATCAGATTACTGATTTAATTATACTAAGCACCAATTAGGTTGTTGTATATGCTTGTACAAACCAATTCTATATAGTCCTATAAACAAATTAAATGAAAAGAGATGAATGTTATTGTCAATCCTGAGATGAAACTTTCAACTTCTCTAATAAAAATGTAAAAATAAATACGTGCTCAGTGTGATCCATTGATGCAAGAGTTTTGAGAGATCCTTACTTCAAAAGGAAGCACACAGTGTAAAGTATCTACAATAAATTCCACTAAAGGTGCCCACACTACAAGCATACTCATACCACTTATTTCAGTTATGAACATTGGGCTAGATTCATGAAGGGATTTAGGCACATAAATCCAAAATGTAGCTCATCATGAACCCTACACTCAGCAGCTGCCTAAGTTACAGATGCTTAAGTTTCTGCTGATAAAGTCCCCTGTGCACTTGCATTTCTGCTGATGGGCGATGTTAGTGCTATGGAGTGTTCTTAAGGCTGCTACCTTGTTTATGCTGCTGTTCTTGGGGCTCTGGTGTTAGCTGAATGAGCCAAGAGTGCAGCACACTGATTTAGAAGGAAAGACCACGGGCTTGTTTCAGTAGCAAAGGCCCCATACGAACTACAGGTACACTAACACATATACATCTGCAACAAAGGTACCCATTCAATCTGCATAAGGTGACACTATCCCCTAGACCAGCACAAAACTGCCCCTCCCATGACTTTTTATATAGTAAAAGCTGTGTAATCCAGCACTTAATCAACCAAAGGCTCTATTAACCAGCATCTCTGATGTCTCCCAATCCAAATCTTCAGTCTAGTAACTGGGACTGGGACGTAGCGGGGGTACTTGCTGGGCTGTGGTGACCTCTGCTGTCTGGAGCAAGACCCAGCAGGGAAAACCTCACTATGCAAAGGTGATGCCAAACTAGTTGAACCAGATACCCCCCATGGAGAGGAACAAAGGAAGGGGGAGTGTTGCCCTGGCTGGGGGGCAGGGCTGGAAGAGGGTTGGTTTAGTGGCTGTCTGGGAGCATGGAGGAGACAGCCTAGGGAAAGGGGCTGGAGTTTAGGGGCCCAGTCTCCCCCCCATCTCAAGGGGGCCTGAGGCATCCTAGCCCAGCTCTGTGACCAGATTACATCTGTGCTGTGCTGTATCCTGGAGAGGCAATAAACTTCCTCTATTCCACCGGCTGGTGCAGTCTGTTTGTGCCATTTCGGGGTGCAGGAGATGGGGGACCCCCAATGCGCCGTCACAGGGACTAGTATACTGCTCGGGAGGTTATGCAATTACACATCTTGTACTCTACTTTTATGCAAGAGAGGCTGAAGACAAGTAAACTGAAAACATGAATTTATTCAAAAAAGCTGGGTAATTTATTCCAGGGTATGTCCTAGTGTCATTGCAGATTCAGCCTAAAATCTTACACTTTCTCCACCTACAATGATACTTGAAGTTGATGACAATGATGCTGAGGCACTGCAAGATCAAAGAAAGCTTAAATTATGTTCAGTATGGTTTTAGTGTTAGTGCTTTTAGTGATCTGGGTACACGCCATGCGCTGCCCATAGTGATATGTAGTGTCATACAATACATTATATGAGGAGTACCAGTTAATTGGAGTTAAAGAGTTTTTCTCTGATTACCGCGTTTATATGTGGCTAGTTAAATCGGGCTAATCAATTTCCAAAATGGCGACTGGCCGCAACTATGCTAACCAAGCGAGGGATATTTAAATCCCGCGCTTCATTAGCAACTTCGGTTGCCTTCATTTGCCTCCCTAATTCAAACTAGGGGTCAAGTGTAGATGTACCCATCGAGACAAACAAAAATATACATAAGCAACTGCCTACAAAAGCTTATGATACTATACAGGCAGTCCCCGGGTTACGTACAAGATAGGGACTGTAGGTTTGTTCTTAAGTTGAATCTGTATGTAAGTCGGAACTGGCGTCCAGATTCAGCAGCTGCTGAAACTGACCAGCGGCTGACTACAGGAAGCCCAAGGCAGAGTTGCTGTGCCCCGGGCTTCCTGGAATCAGCCTCTGATCAGTTTCAACAGGCTGAATCTGGACGCCAGTTCTGACTTACATACAGATTTAACTTAAGAACCCCAGGCGTCCCCAAGTCAGCTGCTGCTGAAACTGATCAGCGGCTGATTCCAGGAAGCCCAGGGCAGAGCAACTGTGCCTCGGGCTTCCTGTAGTCAGCGCTGGTCAGTTTCAGCAACGGCTGACTTGGGGACATCTGGGGCAGAGCAGCTGGGGTGCTGCTGGGTTGCTCCAGTAGCACCGCTCCTCGGCGCTACTGGACCAAC